GAGAAGAGAGAGGAGAGAAGAGAGAGGAGAGGAGAGAGAGGAGAGGAGAGAGAGAAGAGAAGAGAGGAGAGAACATTTATATTACTAATTTCCAATGCACTCAGAAATTCAAAGAAACCTTAAGCCATCTCTGGCTTTGCGAGTATAATATATGGTTTCATTAAACAGGAACTCGGGGGAAAATACCAAAAACAATGAAACAGTTTTGATTTTGAAAGAAAAAATTCAAATATTAGATAGTGTTATACTGCCTACTCTCATACTGAGCATACCAACTGAATTATCATACTCATTGCATCTCTGCTTACAGCATAGTAGACATGAAAGCCCCTGGAGGCTTATTAATATTTGCTATTTACATTTGATATGGAACAGCAACCATTTTTATATTCTTGGTATGTAAAGAACTGTTGAACTGTGTAGCGATTATTCACTGTACTATGTTATTGCAGTATTAATGGAGACTTGTTTTCACTGAAATATAAATTTATTGCAGAGTTATAAAAGAGTGTTTTATTTAGTGTTTTTTTGAGTAGTGTTTGTGTCGCTCTCTAAAAGACCACTCTTTATGGATTTGTTCAGCAGTATTTTTGCTGCTGCAGGCTTTTAAGTTTTTTTCTTTATGTATGGAATATGATGAACACCTTGTGTGTTGAAGAGCAAATTTATAATTTATTTTTAGACTTTTTGGAGCATTTTATAAAAACAATTAAGAATAAATTTCATTATTATTTTTTCACTCAATAGAATCCAGTTCATATTTGATTATAAACCCCCAGTTGATCCTTTTATCGTCGCACACACACATGCACGCACGCGCACACACACACATGAACCACAATATGTACAACCAGTTTCTATCATTAAAATTCCATTCATGAAATATACATAATAAATACCACTTGTGTTTTGGAAATTCTCAGATAAATTCAGTTGTCATTTTGAAACTTTTGAATTTCTTGATAATTTCCAAGGCACTTGTGATATTAAGTCATCAATTTACAGAATACTGCAGCAAGTCAATGATACAAAATATAGAACTATTTATTAAAAAGCAACATTAAGAACCTGACAGAAGAGTACATTATTTTGTACAAAAATACATTTAATTCTAGGTAAATTGTATAAAAGTTCTTATTTTGTTTATATGCAAGTCCAATACAAACCTGTAAAGTGCCATTGCTTAATTCCATGATTATAGCAGTATTTGTTCTCACCCATCTCTTCATTTGCAGGATAGGAGATCTGTGTTTTTCATTTGAACGTAAGCTCACATAACCACCATCTGTAAGATTCTCTTGCATATAATGCAAAAAATATTCAAGAACTGCCAAACGTTGATGAAGAGGCTCTGGTACTGAATGGTTTGGATGTGCAGTTACTTTTCCATTGACATCATGGAACTCAACTTGGCTGTAAATTTCAAATAAATTTAAGAATTTGTATAAATTAGACAAAAATGGAAAAAGAATCCAGTTCAGATGCACAAACCTTCTGTCTGGATTGAAACTTATTCGGGTGTTATCATTGAACAAAACACCAACAGATTTATCGGATAATTGGAAGCCAAATCCGTATTTGTTGGAATAATCAATCCATTTGGAAACAAATATTAGAAAACATGTTACAGGATTTGGATTAACTGGAGTACTATTTTCTGAAATTATAACAAACTTAGTAAGAATGATGAATCATTATCTTAAAAAGAAGAAATAACATTATCAATTAATACCTGAAGGAAGTGGCATTGATCGTAAGCAACCCACAACAATATGATATAATGCTAAGGCATTGTTTTCCTTTTTTCTCCCAATTTTATCAGGACAGAGTACACTGCTTATCTTTTGTTTGAAGGTAATCTGTAACACAATAAATAAATAAAAATGAAGAAAAAATTAAATAATTTAAATAAAATTGATCAAATTTGTAGCTCAGTTTGTAAGATCAGAACATGTAATTATGATATCAACAATGAATTAATAATATTATGAAAACATTTCCAAAACTCAAAAATAAAAAAAATTACATTTGGTTAAAATTGTTCAAGTTTTTGGAACATCCTAGCTTCAGTCTTTAAGTTCATTCTAAATTAATTTCAATCAATTTAAATATATTAATCCAATAAAACGAATTAAGTTTGACATTTCATAATCTCTGAAACCTTCAGTTCCCAGGATGTTCACCAATCTTTGGTGGAATCAAATTAAATGCTAAATTTTATTATCTTCAAATTACCCAGTAGCTTTAACAACTCCACATCTTGGATGTCAGACATCCTTCTTAGATTGATGATGGCAATAGGCTACATTGGCATTTGATGTTTTCTTGCCATGAAAATAAATTCTGAGTTCTGGTTTCAAAAGTAGGGAGAGTGAATTTTAAGAGTTCTTCCTATCAAATGTGTGGCACTATTTTCAAAGCTGCATTAATAACATGCTGAAAATATCTCAGGTTTGCGTTAAAGAACATACGATGCCACTAATTATTTAGTATTGAATATTTTAGTTATTATTTAATATTGCTTGTTAGTATTGAGTATTTCAATTATTATTTAGTATTGATAATGAACAAATACCCTTTTAATAATTAATATTTAATAGTAATTGAAAATGATATGAAAAATTGGAAGATTGCCTGTTTCACACAAATAAATAAACTACCCAAGCTTTTAGGAATTGTTTAAACACCTGATAGTGAATAGTTAAATTATTAAATAAAATTTGAAGGAGTTATTATGGTATCAAGAAAAGCACTTAAATGACTGGTTCATTAAGTCAGATGCAAAATAATTTGCAGGGAGAATTTGGCATTTCAAAATCTATGTTGTTTAACATTAACATCAACATAGAAATGGTTTTCAAAGCAAAGGGAGGAAAAGTAAAAACGAAATTAAAAAAAGAAAACTAATTAAAATAATATAAATTTTTAAAAAAATGAAGAAATATACGAAAGAAGTAGAAATTAATACAGTATGGGCAGCTATATTTCACAACTTTTAAAGGCATGGGGATTCGTTTAAAACAAAGTGTAATTTATATAGTGCTAGCAGACGTACCTTGCATGGGCCAGATACTTATTAATCATAATCCTGCATCACCTGCCCTCCCTGACCCTCCCCATCCTGAGATATTTGTTACAATCATTTATTACCACCATTGTTACTACGTGCAGCTGTCACAGATGCATTGTTGCATGTTCCAGGCAATCTCAATATCAATTTTGACCTTATTCTGAACCTAAATGTGCTATTGGAATGACTCAAAATGCATTTAGTAGGAACTTTTATGTGATTTCAGAAAACTCGAGTTCCTTTAGTGCATTTCTCACTTTTTTTTATTTTTTTTTTTTAGATATTTTCAACAACAGGAAAGAGTGCACACTTGAATATTGCTCTAAAGGAAAGGAAAGGAGGTTCCCTATATCTTATACAGAAAGCAACTTTTCTCTTGTTTTGAGTCAAGTGTACAAAATTGTATTAAATTAAAGAAACAAAACAACACAAACCCTGTAAATTTGTATGAAAAAACAAACCAACAAATTTTCTTTACATCATAATTATTATAATAATTTGCAAAAAACGTACCCTTACATTATGCCTGAGAAAACACATACATTATATGATCAAAGGTATCCTGATACGTCCCAAAATGGTGTAATTGTGTGGTTGTGTTTTTCATAGAGGGGGCACCTCTTGCTGTTTTGTGTGGTACTATCACGGCACAGGCCTATATTCATGTTTTAAACACCTTCTTGCTTCCCACAGTTTTTCAGTTCCCACAGTTTGAACAGTTCGGGGATAGCGATTGCATTTTTCAACACAACCACCACTGTCTAATTTTATTTATACAGATTTAATCGTTATTCCTAAATGGACATTTACAATGGCAATCCTTCAGAGCAGAAAGTTTGTGCACTTATTAAAACACTCTTTATGCTTTCCTTTCAAATTTCCAATACAATACTCTCTTCAATTTTTTAAAATTTATTATATACATTTATTTCAAATTCATGTTCTGCATAAATAATATTTGTTAAATTTCTTGACTAGCAATACATAAATAGTAAAATTTTACGAAATGGCCATTTAGAAATCAGAAAAAAAATTCTCAATAGTGATAGATTTGTATTGTCATTATGAACAAACCCTCTTTAGTGTTTTATAATTTAATGTCATATCATGACTGATCACATACTCTTGAATCATGTAATATTCTTTTTTCCTTTAAGAAATTATTTACTTCTGCCTTCGTTTTGTATTTTTCAGAGAGTCTGAGGAAATTCATACTGGTACTCTTAATAACAAATTACAACTATTCAATAATTACATCAACAAATCAAAATTCATTAATGTGCGTCATCATCACAGATACATTTCCGGGCAAAATTTTGATATTTTTTTATTGGCTAGAAGAAAATTTATTTCTTTTTACAAGAATCTACCTGTCCTTGTGAAATTAAAGAGAAACATTTTAAAAAACACCAACTGCAGCTCACAATGAAAAATTTGTGTCATTAATAACACAAAATGAACGGAATGATTAAGATTTCAATTCTTTTCTACTCTTTTCAAACAAAAGAAGTGTAACAGTACAATTATTTTTTCCCCTACTGTCTCTTGTAAATTTTTCAATTGCACTTTCAAAAAGTATAATCACAAAATGTAACAATGTGTTTTATAAGTTTTGACAAGTGGTAAGCTGGATAGGAGGCACAAAATGTGGGGGTCTTTGAGTTAGCTGTTAACAGAAAAGGCAAATGAATGTGAATGGTAAAACAAAATTCCAAAGGATTTCAAAAATCTCTGAAACCTGAATTTGCATATGTGAATTGCATTTTTAAAATGATACATGATTTCAACCATCCACTTTTATTAATGAAAAATACACAAAGCAATACAGTGAAACCTCTTTGAATGGACACCTCTTTGTTGCAGACAAATTTCTAGGACGAAAATTTCAGTTCAAGTCAGAACTTTATCACAGTTGCTTACAAATTACACAAGAAACCTACCTTTGCTAATAAAGCATTCTTCTGCGTTACATGCTTTGTAGTTGATGCGGTATTACATCCTACTTTTGCACTGCCGCTCGATGTCATATCTACAGGGGTTAGGCCTTCTGCCATATGCCTATTAAATAAATATATCATTTAGGCTACTAAAACAATTACACACACTCACATATTCTGTAATTCAATTAAGAGCAAGTTAAAAAATATAAGTTCTTAAGAATATTATTAATATTTATCTTTCCACAATATTCATCTTGAAATGGTCATTCCCCAATCATTGGTCATTGTCTTAAAATACACTTGAGTACCCAAAATAATTCACATTGCACATCATGAATAGAGAGATATATTTTTTTTGTATTACCAATAAAAACAACAAAAAATAAATTACATCAATTTCTCGATTTGAATTGTTGAATTGTTGAAATATTTCCCATTTCCTCCCTCGTAAAAATTCGTGACACAGTAGTCTGATTGTATGCGTTGAATAGTAGAAAGATAATCTAAAGAGTTCTATATTCAGTTTCAATACATTCTTAGAAACCATAATCACTTTCAATACTGATTACTCTGAGTTGAAGGGTTAAAAAGTAAATCTATTTTCCTTCGGTCCATAGTCAAAATTTTCAGTTTCTCCATTACTTATACGGACTCTGTTTGGGGTAGGATTTGACCACACCCTTTTACCCAATATTTTATCTGTATTTCATGCACAGATTCTATTTGTAATTATTAAGAAAATGATACTATTTATTGGCTTCATTTCAATATATCATTTTGAAAAAACAATTTCCACAAAAACATTCTAGCATATCCTTATAACTGTACATAGGTGTCTACCGTACCAGAATTCCGATACTAAGCTATTAACTCATAATAGAAAAATACGCCTGATTTTCATTTAGAAACAAAATATTTTAAAACGGAAATGGACCCGTTTTTAGATTTTTTTTCATAATTTACAAATGTAACATGACATCTATTTGGGAGAGTTTCTGACTCCAGACACATAAAAAATCAAATTTACTTAAAAAAACTGAAATGTTTACACACTTGTAAAACTGGACATAAATAGCAGATCTTAAAGGAGAAGTTCGTGTGAATAATTTGCAGTGTTGTGTCCAGATGTTGCATAACATTATTTGCGCTTGGGATCAGAAAAAATCCCAAACAGTCTAAGGGTTAATTAAACATCGCAGAAATGCAAACACTTATTTCAGTTCAGTTAAGTCGATTTATCCATGAAGTGAAGATTATGCGTTCGCGACAGTCAAGCAAGCAGAGTAGCCTAGTTTTAGAAGTTTCCGAGCATATTGTCGTGGCTCGCGGGTAGTTCTTGCAGCGACATCAATGGCACTTTAATACAGTTCGCGGGCAACTCTCCGTTAGTAATGGAGACAAGGGGGGTTTAGAAGGATTGTACAAAACACGGCATCCATAGTAATTTATCTGATTCTTGGTCATACTTTTTCTGAAAACTAACTATCGTCGCATATTTAACGATTTTTCTCCATCTCTAATTTCGCAAGCATTTTATAAAAACAAACTTGCAGCTATTGGGACGTCAAAGGAAGTACGAATGTCCCCGGGATTTTAGTTTAAGCCACGGCAATTTTTTTAAGCTAACACGGCGCACGTAGTAGTTTAAAAAAAGTCGAGACGTCTCAGATACCCATGGATTCAAAAATATACACACTCAAACTTCGAAAGCAACCGCAGGCGGTCAGCAGACTGGCGACGGCGTTTAGAGTAGTAGTGTGAGAGATGAAGTACTCATTGGTTCCCATACTTAGATAAGAAAATGCAACGGAGGATAACTTCCTTCTAATTATTAAGGAAAATATCCGTATTTTCAATATTATAGTTGTAGGAAGATGACAAAAATTTCCTCTTTTGCAATTTTCAAAAAATCTGTGATCCAACGAACATACAGCATTGCCTCAAGCGTCCTTTACGTCATCCGAAGACAAAGTTTCATTAACAAAATTGGTGCCATTTTCGAGAAATTTTGACAATGTTTTTGAGGTTTCATGTAAAACACCCCAAGCCTCGAGTTCATTCAGATTGATTAGGGAATATCAACTTTGAAGAAAATCGGCTGAACGGTTTAGTTGATGGTTGACCACGGCGGGCGGACGGACATTTTGCCGTCAATCGATTTTTCGGTGTCTAGGATCCACAAAACGGATTCTGGGTAGACCACGTGTTAGAGGATTTTTTCTATACTTAACAACCGGATTTATCCACTTTTCAGTTATCAGTGGGCTGACACATTTTTTCTGCCAAAAATTCGCAGTTTTTCGGCCCCGATTACATAACTCTCTCTTCTTACGAACTGCCTTTGTAAGGGCGAGAAAGAAAAAAGTCTCAATTTATATACAGTGGCACTGCTAAGTCACGAGCTGGAAGGCGAGGGATTGTCATCCAATTGAGAGGTCCCGTACTAAAAATTTAAGTCTTAACGAAGCTCCCGATTTGATGAGTGTTTCCCTCTTCGTCCAACTGACCTTCAAGTGCCAGTCTAAATTGGAGTACAGTTTCCCGAATTCTGCCCCAACACTCGCATAAAGGTTTTTCGTGTAAACTTCCAGCCTTTCTATCACGTCAGAACATGTGATACTTTGAATTTTAAAACTGAATCCGTTATGGCAACACCAATATTTGAACAAGAAAAGAAAGAAAGAAAAATATTAATTAACGCAAAATCGCTTACACTTTTTCGGGAAGCTGAAAACAAAGGCCTCTAAACCCGTTTTCAATCGATATATACAGGCATGTTCTTGAAGTCACAATCTTGGTTCTAATTCTTATTTAGGAAGTAAAACTACACAAATGAATATTACTTTACAGAATTAAACCTAACTCAAAGGTCTGAGACCAAACAAATAAATGGTACTGAATAAACCCAATAATTTATTGTTTTCCTTTCTTCTGGCGTTATCGAGGGGGTGGGCCATATTCGCGAAAATGAAAAAAAGAAACACTGCCGTCTCAGGGGGAAAGTCGATAACCTCGACTTTTCATATTGATATCTTATCGTGCCAAATGTCCTTCCATGAAGATTCACTAGGGAAGTCTCTATTGTTAATTCAAAATATTGAACGTGAGGTCGCTTTCACTTCTGCTGCGCCTGAACGTGATCAAAGGTGCGATACTATTTCTCTTTACAACGATAAGTCGACCAACACATCTCTGCCGTGCGGGGAGTGCGTCATGATTTTGGCAGATGTTTAATGTTAAAAAGTTGTGAACCTCGTCAGTATCTCGCGGCGCTACTCAATCGTCAAAAATTTACACCCGCGTGGGTGGCTTAAAGGCCCTCACAGACCGGCGCGGAACATCCGCAGCGGGTGCGCGCGGCAAGTTCCGCGCCAGACACGGCACCGTACACACTGGAGTGTCAATTATGACTCGGCTTTAGGTGCCAGTTTTCCCCAACCGATAAACAAAATGCGCTCGCTTCTATTCATGCACGAGATAGAAAATGCTGATACATGTAGTACATTTTCTGAGCACATGCGGTACGGTGCGTTGACCTTCAACTACGATATTCCATCAAATTTATATCTCTTTCGAAACTAAGAAAAAGGGTCCATTATTTTGACCTAGAAAGGAAAAAGTACGGAAAATTACATACTTTGAAGCCACGAAGGACGAGCTTTTATATTTACTAGAATGACCAGTGAATGTTAATGTCATTACTAAAATGTACAAACTTTTGAGGACAAAAAAAGTCGAAAAATGGAAGTTTAATGTTATTTAAAATTAATTAAATTACTGAACACGATTAGAAGCACTTTTTCTGACCCTTCAGTCAACAGATTCAATGGCGAACTGAAAATATTCGACATCTGACGAGGCTTTACCTTGGTTACCACAGTGAAACTCGAGCGGCAGAGGCTATCAAGGGAGCTCGACCCGGAGGGGAGCGAAGACTCCCGAAGGTCAACGGACTTCCACGAAACTCTAAGAGGCAGCGGAAAACGCGTTACAATATCCGCCGCGATTTAAACGTTGCCGCGACGCTTGCCAGCCGCACAGGTCTGAACGTGCTCATAAGGCAACACGTTATGCAAAACGTCCACTACGGACATTGTAGGCTGCGGATATTCCGCGTCGGTCTGTGGGAGTCTATGCCGATAGTGGATGGATATACGGATAGAAGAATAATTATATTTTAAAAGCACATAAAGTAGTAAATAATGTGCCGTAGGTGCAACAAAACTTCATAAAATTTCGAAATGAAGTAAACGCGAGAATTATCAAAAACCAAGCCAAAAAGGAGAACTTTTATAAAGAAATATTCAAAACAGTTATACAATCATATACATTTGTTTACCTTTAATTTTCCTCAAAAGGTCATAAATTTATTAATACTCAGTAGCGCCCCCATGGGCCTTCAGCCCGCCGCCAAGCCGATGACATACATACCGCAAGTATAGTTTTAATTAATGTTCCATAGTAATGAAAGTCATTCAATATCTCAATTGAAACATATTACAAATAACTATAAATCAAAAAATAAAAATTATTTTAAATTAACCTTAAATGAAAAAAACTTTATAAGGCAATGTCTAGTCGAATATCCATTCGCATAATCCATCTATCTCTGTTTATGATATGTATTTTAGTACAAAATGATTAAATACATTAAATAATTTATTGTTTGGAATTATATTAATTACTATTTTGGCAGAATTAAGTGCAATTAATTTAGAATTCATGAATGTAATAGTATTACATAGAGTATTGTTTAATTATATAATAAGTTTAGTTTGTTATGTTGTATTGGTAATTTTTGTATTAAGCATATAGCACATATATCCATTCGACTAAGCATATAGCTCTCTATATAAAATGTAAATGCTCTGCTATTTAAAATGCCAGTGCAATGAAATAAATTAGTGCCTAAGGATTGTGTTTTATAGCCTTATTTCCTACTTATTTCAATTGTTAGTGCCTTTTTAGACGCATGACACAAGTCCCTTTCATACATGACATTACTTCCCTTTCAACAAGTATTTTATGCTTCTAAAACGTGTGAACAGAAGGCGTTACTCATTATTCCTTGCCTTCAGCTTTCATTATTGGTAGTAGGATTTGATTACTTTCTTCTAGTTACTCTCGTTCTATGTAGTATTAAATAAGATAATCCTGTCTCATCTCCTACATTCTTTCTTTATTACACTTGCCTTTTCCGGTTTTTTCACGATTTAATAAAGATCATCGCCTCATTAATCTTCTCTTGATCTCTCATAAACCGAGTCTCTATTGAATGAATCGCATACCTTGACCTTTCATAATAGTGAGATACAAAACCTTTCAGATCAGGTAGTTACTAGCGATCAAATAGATCTCCAACAGTCCTAATACTCTACCAGTTCCACATTGCTATAATCCTGACAGACTTTCACAGACAAAAAGTTATGCCAACTATTTAATTTTTGCCAAATGCCAAAATGGATGATTATCAAAGTTGCTAACAGGACTAGACTAGCGACGCTAGTCGTAGCTCAGAGCATAATCGCTTGCCTTTCATCAACGAGATCCGAGTTCGATTACCAGACAGTAGCATGTGAAATTTGTTTCGACAAAACGAGTTTGCCTGCTTCACAGGGGCTAGCCCTGTCAAGCATTCTAAATCCTACCACTATCCTAATTCCTTCCCAATTCTATCCTAATTCCCAAGTGACGCAGAAGCGCGTACTTAATAATGGACTACCATTACAATTACCACTATGTTTAAACAAAATCAATCATGCGTTCGCTAATGGCTTAATGTGACCTGAAACAAATCAAATAAAAACAAAAAACAATTCGACTAGCAATTCACTTCATTTGAAAAGTTCACAGTTTCACGCAGAAAATATTTTTCCATTTCATACGGCGAAAAATCTACCACTGATCATGTAACACGCATTGCTACGGAAACGTTTTTCTTGCCAATTTAATACTGAAAGTCCGCTGTTCGCTTCGCGTAATTTCGGGAAGTACACTACATTTCATTGACCAGAAAATAAATTTTTATTAATTGGAGTTTTAAATTAAATTTGGCGAATATTCTATCGAAAAACGTGCAAGGTATTTTCATCCATTCAGTTCTGCGTGAATTCCACGAGATAGGAAACCTCGACATATACTTAGCTCCTATTTCACATCCATACTGTGCACATCTCTTACCGAGGTCGAAAATCTCGACTCCAGATTTTCAATAGAACATTCTGAATTGTTAATCCTTACAAGGAGAACATGTGTGTGTGTGTGTGTGTTAGTGTGTGTGTGTTTGTTTGATTAGACGGAGAGACTGATACAAATGTGCTTGTTTTTTTAAGTTGCTGCCATACACTTAAACACTGCTGTGTGTTGCCCTCAGAACGAGTTCTTTTTCTCTTTATTAGCCAACTGCACATCCCATTAAGGGCAAGGGCCTCCTGCTCGCGCAGGGAATTAGTAATCCTTCTTTACTTAAGTGATAGGATGATGACGATGATAATGATGATGAAGGGTGAAGGGACGATCACAAATGCATCCATGCACGAGGCGGGATTCGAACCCGCGATCCTTCAACCCGAGATCGCCACGACACTACTGTCTTAGCGACCTCGGCTTTCTGGATCGACCAGAACGACAGTAATAGGTCACAAATGGAAAAGGTGACTAATGTAGCTTAAATCTAATACACGATTATTAAATTTGGATTTAAAAAAATTAATTTTCACATTATAATCACATGATTCATGCACTGAATAAGCTTCGAAATATTACGCGTCTGTATAGTTGCGATTCATGACACTGGCACAGAAAATACCAAAGTTGTCAGACTCAAAGTCTTCACATAGGTTTCTCTACATATGTCGACGCGCTGAATCCGACTGTGAAGCCAGAATTGCGCAATCACCCTCCAGTTTTTCGCGACTAGTGCAAACAAAAACAACTGGAAGGCGGTGATGTAATTCTGGCTTCAGTTTCGGATTCAGCGCATCGACATACGTAGAGAAACGTGTGTCAAGTCTTTGGGTTTGAAAACCATTTTAATTTTGTGGGCCTGAGCAATCAACGATTGGCGTGCCCGTACATTTCATAGTATTGCGAGTTTCATTTCTTCTTTGAAGAAGGCAACGGTTAAAGGTCTCTAAGGAGCAGTAATCGTTATTGAGTGATACAAATGATTGGCAACGGGCAAAACGTATGAAGTAATAATCTTGGGGCGGCCGAACTGCAAGCGCAAACCTGAGAAACGCTGTCTTTGAGTTTTTGAGAAATTGTGATTTATTACTAGCAGTTGCTGCCCACAGCAGCAATAAGGCTGCTAAACAAAACGGTCTTCCGGAAGTACCACGCACACTGCTCAATAACAAATAAATTGCTCTCTTGTAACACAGCAATTAATTAAATATATTAACAAAATACTCTTAGCGAATACTGTGTAGTATATATAATGTTGCAGTTCTGTAACGCGAACACGTGAATTACACCAGCTGTGTGAAAAGTAATGACGCACTAAATATGAGAATTCGTCGGTGCACGCAATATGAGAATAGGCGGAATAACGCATTCAGTCATGAGATTCGAAACAGTTTCATTGCTTTGGTATTTTCCCCGAGTTCCTCGGTATCTAATGAAACTTCTTAATGTCCGTGCGCCTCAGACCTTAGTAACATAAGGCGTGTTACGTAACTTCAGCACCTCCTGCAATTCTTGAACGGTTGAAGTTATTGCAATGCAATTTTCATAGACGTGCTTGAGGGAATAGAGCTAGTTTACACACATATTCAATTCCACTTTATCACTTTATTTTACAAGATATTGAGGTAACTTTGGTTTTTCAAATTGGACCAAATTTGTATCTATCGTGACGAGGGTAAAAAGGCAAACAATGATATACATGTTGTCACATGTCAGATACGTATTTTTTAGAAATAACAACTAAAATCAAAATTATTTTGATTAATTTTTGTGACTCGTGTTTAACGGGTATTGTAACGATCCGAGCGCGCTTTAGCAGGGAGAGCGCTGCGTGGCCTTGGCTGGTGGACTGTTACATTCAAAATGTCCATTAAATACGAGTCGCAAAATATAAACATCACTCAATAATGTTTATCTAAAATATGTTTAATATTAAGCTATATAAATAGCCCTATTGCATACTGCACGTCCGTGAAAACGGCATTGCAATAACTTCAACCGTTCAAAAATTACAGAAGGTGCTGAAGTTACGTGATTCACCTGTAAATTTCTATGCTTTTTTTTCACCTCCACATTTACTGACATGGGACCTTTTATATTGAATCTTCCTAGAATATCTCATAGTTCTAATCGATTTAGTTCACGTGCGGCCCAATGGCGAAACGTGAATTCAAGTCGAAGGCATGCAGTGATGGAGTTACTTCGTTACGATTGCATTCACCATTGAACCTACTTCCATCCAATCATCATTATCCTTCCATCACATTTAGAGTTCACTATACATCCACAATCCATTCCAAGGCAAGACCATCTCCATCAACATGCTTTACGTACGTTTGTGACAGCATACATTTTGTGAGAATTCTTGCGTATTGAGATATCTAAATGAGGTTCAAAATAGGAGCTTCGTCAAAATATTTCCTCCAGATCACACAGCACTCAGCTTCATTGCTGGAGTGTTCGGCGTTGTGAATCATCCAACACAAAACTCTGTCTGGAATGGGTAGATTTCACTGAAATACAGTGTTTGGATTAGATTGGTAAACCGTTCACTCATGTGTTAAAATGCGATATCATGCGCTCCTATGCATGACTCATATGCATGTGGCATGCGATTTCATTCCATGTCTTCTATTGACATTTGACCTCGAAGACAACTCTGATGTTGCATTCATTAGACTACACTAAACCGTCAACTAATATTATCCGACTCTGCAAGATCCCTTCAAACTTGCGAGATGAAGTTTGCGATCACAGATTCTCTTCAGCAATGACTCCATTTCGGTCGAGATGGAGTTGCATATTGGACACTGTTTAGCGCATCACAAAAATCAATAGGAATTCAAAGTTTTTTTCACCACTCACTTCATCCACTCCTAGTTAGTGTGCTACACGCACCTTGCAATGCTCTTGTAACACACCTAGTTGTCATTCTAGGTAATTGCGCAATAAGAACTGCTATATAAGATTAGACAATGTCATAATTCCTATTTTCATATCTACAGGATGCTTAGGGAACTATAATCCTTTTCTTCGCTTCGGTCTTCCCATATCCATGTATGACACGTATATTTAATATACAATAAGCTACGTGTTATTCGTTGCTATAATAAGAACGTAACTATAACAAATGTAATACGTAACTATAATAAGAACTTGGGGTACAAACTACAGTTAAAGTACCTGTTAAGCAAAACAGTGTTAAAAGCAGGTGCTGTGTAACAACACAGAGGTGAAAGCGTATCAGGAGTGTAAACGTTTTTAAAAAAATCGTGGCCATTTATTTTCTCCACTAATATCCGATTTTCAGGCAATGGTTGAAGCAACTGCCTTATTAGTTTTCGTCCGTTCTCAGATACTGTTAACGGAATAGTATATTTGTTATTAACAATTCTTGAGTACGTTTCTTTTAAACTGGCAGTCTCAAATGGGGGTTGGCCAACCAACATTGCATATCTGGAAAATAAAAATATATAATTATCACTGGTCGTACAAAGATGAATCAATTCTCTCGTAAGTTGACACCCAAACTAAACTTTAATAACCTAACAGCACAAAACTTACAGAATGCAACCAATCGCCCAAACATCTGCTTCATAACTGTAGCTTAACTTGTTTAAGACCTCTGGGGCTATGTAATTGGGAGTTCCACAGATTGAACTGTACAACAGAACAGCATGCAAACTTATATAAACGACACAACAAAGTAATTGAGGCAAAACATCAAAACTGCATGAAATAAACAAATCGAACAAAAACGCAAACATAAAACAATGACAAAGTAAAGAAAATAGTCTGAATATACTGATAAAGGAAAGAACGGTATTTATATTGAACAAGTGAATAATATTAATATTCAAATTTAGGACAGTTATTTCTAATTTAGTTCAAATTCGGATCACCTACACTTTTTTGTTTCCATCCACCAACGTAGCCAAGCCAAAATCTCCTAACTTCACAACCATATCTTCACTTAGCAACATATTTCCTGGTTTCAAATCACGATGTATCACTTTCTGACTGTGGATATATTTAACGCCTTCCACCAACTGGCGGAGATAATAGCGAGCTTCTGGTTCTGTCACAGAATATCTGTGCTTCAGCACATGAAATAGGGACTAAAAGAAAGAAACGGTTCAGAATTCATGCTAAAATCACAACAGCACTGTATGATATAAACAAAATAGTAGTCATATTCGTGTTTGCGAATAATTTTTCATAAAATACTAATAAATTTACTTTCAAAATTACTTTAGAGTAGATACATTGACGTACTTAACACACAACTCACCTTGCGCGAACAATTCTCTAGTACAATGTATGCATTGGCATTATCCTCAAAAAAATGATGAAGTCTTACAACATTTTTGTGCACTAAATTCCTATGTATTGAGATTTCCCTGGCAATCTGCAACAAAAAATATAGATTTGTTAAAATAAAAAATATATAAATAAAATAACCTGAATACATAAAAAATCTTAAAGTGAATAACTACGAAGAAAATTGTTGTATGTCACACCTCTTTCAAAAGGTCTGTACATGGGTATTAGTTTGACGTAAAAAAGAAGGCAAATATTCGCCCAAGGTGGCCAACAAGGAATAAATCAAGATGTTATATGTAATCTGCAGTTTGTATTCTACTACATACACGAGTTATTCCAGATACTACACACTACATACACGAGTTATTCCAGATTCGATTTAAAACATGATTTCGTGAATCACACCTTTTTGTACAAATAGAAAGTTTTATTTATTTGTGTGTTTGTTCAAATAAAGCTCTTATATATATACATATATATACATATATATACATATATATACATATATATACATATAATATACATATATATACATATATATAATATATATACATATATAGACATATATATACATATATATACATAATATACTATATATACATATATATACATATATTACATATATATAACTAATTATACATATAATACATATATAACATATACTATACATATATAATACATATTATATACATATATATACATATATATACATATATATACATATTATATAATATATATATACAATATATATACATATATATATCATATAATACAATATATACATATATAACATATATATACATTATATATACATATATATATTACATATATTATACCATATAGTATACATATATATACATATATATCATATATATACAATATATACATATATTATACATATATATACAATATACATATAAATATAACATATAAAATACATATAAACCTATACATAAAATATACATATTACAAAAGAAGACAAAAAGGAGAGACGTATACATATACACATACACATACACATACTATACACATACATACAACATACATAACACATACAATACACATACATACACATAACACTACACAACATAATACACTACATATAACACATACATATACACTACAGTATATACATACAAACATATATACAGACAATACATATATACATACACATACATATATACATACACATACATATATACATACACATACATATACACATATATACATATACACATATATACATATACATATACACATATATACATATACATATACACATATACATATACACATATACATACACACAACCCACGGAATATATACTCCCAAGGGAATATGTCTTAGCAAGTGCTAAGTTAACAAACGATACAAATAGAGGTAATAAACGAAAAGCAAATTTGTTAGAGCGGACAAGAAAAAAACACAACAGGAATAGTGAACTACAACTAACAGACATTGTAAGAAAATACTTTCGACCATTTTTCCGAACGTGTATATTTATTTTGCCATTTCGATTATACCGTAGTCCACGAATACACCAGGTTAAAAGATGACACCCAGCTGCTCACATTGCCCGCCTCCTAACTCAGAAAAGAACCAACACGTTCTCAGCGCCGCACACGAGAACGGTGAGAACTAGTCTCGAACAGTTTCTATTCTCTTACACCGAGCGGTCAGGCAAGAAGCAATGAATTTTTATAATACTCGTTTCTGACTTCCATCCAGTATCGAACGACAATGGTAGTCATAGTCTGCAGAACCAGGAGATCGAAAACCACGTGAGGCCATTGTTTTCACCGAGAGATTGTGGAAAGAAAGTGATACTGTACTATTATAACATTCGTTTATCATGCGTTGTGTCGTACACGTAGTGCTTACAGGAAGCTCCCCAAATAAGTCTTCTGAAGGAATGCGTCACTGTTTAAAACACTTGCCGATACGCAGCCTTGCCATGCATGGTCTTCATTACGGAAATTTGATAGTTTATTCTGTGTTTTTTTAAAAAAATACAAAACTCGTTTTACTATTGTTTCTAAACTATTTTCATCTTATTGTATTAAAATCGAAGATTTTTTCGTAGTAGAAGAAGCCTATTTCGAACGTCCAGCCTCTGAACTGAGCATCACAGTATTATAGGCCCAGTTCTGACCGAGAGTAACCTTTCTAATACTGCTACGCGTTGAGATTAAATTGTTCAGTAAATCAAAGGATCCTTTAATTGTATATTGGAAGATGTTTTTCGTGTTTCAGGGAACACTCATCACAACTGAATCTCAAAAAACAAATAAAAAGTTCAAAATGGTGTTATTTTGTAGAATACTGTTTAATAAAATATTCGGTCCCCGCCTGCCCCACTCCGGTCTCCGCTTGTTCCCACCAGCCTGCTTTCATTTTCCTGCATGGCCCCCGACATGTCCTCCCAAAAATCTCTTCGTTTCTGATTTGTCCTCTATTATTTATATTGTGTCACAGTTGTCTGTTTGTATGTCACAATCTGCAAGATTCTATTGTCCTCCTCTTAAATCTGTTGGATGTAGGATTGGGAGGTAATTTCCTATCGAGCAGAAGCATTTTTTCAGGTTTTGTGCCCATGTTTTTTTATAAATCGTCAAAATCATTATTTACCCTAGTATATTAAGAAAATGAAATATGGTCTGTAGAGATACTATACTCTTCATTCAAAAATGAAAGTTTACAAATGTTGATTTCTAACACATTAAACGGTTGGATCACTTCATATTTTGCGAAAAAATGTTGAAGAGGCGTAGACAAAATGTAAATTATTCTAGAAAAACCTTTTCTGGAATTGAAAAGCAGGCTCATGGTATTTCAGAGAAATTAAATTTCGATGTTTCCTCGCCACAGAGTAATGAACCAATGTTTTCGTAGTATAACAATATTAGTTTCACCAGGCACGCAATACACAAAATCTAATAATCGATTTGGCAAGTGAATTTGCACAACTATTTTAATTTGAACGAAAATGCGGAAAGGACTAAATAGAGACCATCTATTCAATTTATTTGACGATGCATTTCTGTTTTCTAAGTAATTTTTTCTCCCCGTTTCTCAAAAATTGAGTGTGGTTTAGTGGTGGAGAAATTTATATTATACTCGACGTGCCTTTTCCAACTAACTTACCGGATTTCCACATATTACCAATTTATTAATTTTTCATCATTATTAGTACGAACATGCACAGAATACACTCCTCCCCATAGCGTATCACACATGTTTTTAACTTTTTTGGACGTTAAATAAAGAAACTACGAAAGTTACGAAAACTACGAATTATGAAAAATGCAATCAGCGACGTCTGTAAACGCAGACTAAGCATTAACATTCTCATTGGACAACTATTTTTGCCACACATTCTACGTGAAATACCAAGAGTAATAATTTCGCAAGTTCCTTCCGTTGCCCGAGATCGTGTGCTTTAGTTAACCTATTTTCATCCATCACGTAATTATATATAAACGTTGGTCGGCGTCCAAGTGAGGAGCCGTACGTGACCGGCGCGTGCGAGCTCTCCCGAAAGTATATCGAGCAGCGCGGCGGCCGCCAAGAGCCGCCTCCCGCGGGCCAGGTACAAAGAAACGCTATTTCGAGGGTAGGGAGGCGATAGAATGCCGCGGAGAACAAGCCAATTTTCAAGACCTCAGGCGAAGATGCCAAACTTAAAAGCAATGCGGCGTCAATGGTTGTTTTCATTCCACGCGGCAAGCAGCTACTTCAGGCACTTACAGTCTCTGCAACATATGCAACGCCAGGGAGTTCATATAACACACGTACAGCGTAAACAAACATTACAGGGCGTGGTTCATTCATTGCGGGAATAAAATAAACACAATTCAAACGGACAGTTAAAGAGATTAACTTTGCCTCTAACCACGTGCTACCGAACTTTCGGGCCTATTTCGTACTTGCGTAGTAAGAAAAAGGTGCGGCGGACACTGGCGATTTTTTTACTCATTTAAGATCGCTTTTCAACTACTAAGGTCATATAGCGCCCACTGTAACAATGGGGGTAACGACAACGGTATACGGACACACACAAACATCCATGCCCCGGACGGGATTCGAAACCGCGACCCTTCAGGCACGACACAGCTACGGCTCTTCAGCATCGGCGACCTCTGCTATCCAGGCCGGCAAGCTAGCGATTTTTAGTGCGAACAACTCTTATCGCGGGTCTTGAATATCGAAAAAGTGGATAAATCTTGTTCATATATTTAGTAACTAACATCCTCTAATACGATGTGCAGTCAGAAACATTACACGACGTTTTGTAGTTTACTTTCGTAGTAAACCATATCTTCAGGTGGAGGTTCTGTAAATGTTTCGAAAATTAAACACACGATGAAACACGTGAGAAGGATGATATATCAATTACTCTATTTTCTATCATAATATAGTACGTGAATATTTATTTATAAATGTAATACGACGCACGAGACAATAGGAGTTTCTGAAAATGTATCATAATGCTTGTTTTGAAAACTGGATAACATGAAAGTACGAGTATGAGAAACGTTAACAGGCAGTAAAAATGTTTAACATTGTCGAGATATAACATTTAATTCAAGACTAAAGATGATTCACAAAGTTTAAGACTCCAATTGAAAAGGGTAGTTACAGATAAGAAACGGGGTGCTATGTTTTTTATTGACAATCTCTCTCTCTCTCTCATTTACTGATAATTTCGTTTGTTTCATTATCTATAATTGGTTTAGTATGTTCTCTTATTTGTACGTATTACTACAGACAAATCACATTGTTCTCTTAAATTCACCAAAACAGCAAACAGTTTAACATTTCGTTAATCCTGTAACAGCTAGACTGCGTAAGATAATAAGGTGCGCATAAGATACACCTATGAGAAAAATCCGAGAACAAGATTTAGAGTATGGAAGAAATAGATGATCTATAAGAGGAATTTCTACAGTCCTTCTGAATCGGCATTTCGTATGGTCAACGTTGTTTCGTGATTTCTTCTATTAAATTTAGTAAATGTTTCTCTCAGAAAGTTCGAAATCTGTTTTACCATGTCATTAACCGATCGGATGAAAATCTATTCTAGCCTTCACATTCCTGACAAGGTATCGGAAATCGATATTTTAGGTTTCGTTTACTTCTTCCTTTGCCATTAGGAGCAACGTTGCTTAAAGATCTTTAACCAGGATCTGGCATTTTTTCGGGCACACTTCAATGCCCGTTCCAGAACACTGGTAGAGCGCTTACGTACCAGAGTTCACAGCTTTAAGTAGCTCCCCATATGCAAAACAAATTCGGGCGAGGAAGTGTGTAGGAACACTACAATTCCAGATACAAGATATCTTAATTTTTTTATTTCAGCGGCCTCACAGAGTTAAGAAGACCTCGTCAAACTGGGAAAGCAAAACTTGCGAGGGCTACGCAAACAGAAAGAAGGGTGAAATTACTCATTACTAATTGTAATTACGGTTTAATATGGTCACAGCAGAAACATGAGTACTATTTTAAGGAATGAAATTCATCGCATTTCTTAAGGCTTACGTAAAAGTTTTGAATATATTAAATTTATTTTTCTAATCAGACAAACTCTTCAGAATCGACGAGATTCAAAGCTTGAGGCGACTGATATCAAAATATTCTGGTAGGATAGTCGATGACACTTCAAAATATGATTCGTATACGATAAAACATAAATAGTGAGATGGTATATACAGTCTGTAAGATAACTTAGGAATTTGGAAAACGCTAAGTTCATTACGAGATAAGCAATGTTCTTTAAAGTAAAGAATACCTATTTGATTAAAATCACTCTGAAGAGCAGCCCTCGGAAGTTGTATTTGAAAGAGATTTAACGTTATTGCGCAGTATGTGAATCTATCGCAAGTAACTACACGGATGTTTTTCTGCTGTAGCTAACTGTAGTTTCTACATATTTACTCCATTTTACCCCCAGTGCAGGGTCGAAAGCGGTAAAACGTGTCCCAAAAGAAACCAGTTGCGAGGAAATTGCGGCACCAGGAGAGGAATTGGTACTAGAAATTGGAGAATCATGGTGAAGTGTTTTGCTAAGGGGAAATTATTTTCAAAACTTGTTACATTTGTTTCTCTAAGTTTTAATTGTGGGTTGCGTGCTCAATGTCGTTGCATATTATTACAGTTTTACCAGAAGGGTAGAGCCGTGACTATAGTATGTTTTGGTCGGCATATTGAAATTTGTTTACATGTCGTTCAGCTGATATGATTGGTCATTCATCGCATTTCGGCGGTGTTCAATTCTGCAGTCACGACTGTAAACTTCCCTTCAGGTTTAAAAACAGATAAAACAGTAAATAGTAAAACTACTAATAAACTAAATTATGATAAACGAAAAACATAAAACAGTACACTAAATCTTAATTAAAGTAGCAAAGAACACATTCAAGAAGGACACAAAAATGTGCCATTTTGCACACATTCCCGCAGATAGATTTGAGATATCGAGAGGCGTTGAGTACTCGTACCGCGGGCGACACACACTGCGATTGCGGCGGTGGGGTAGCGTTGGAAGCAAGGGTACTGGGGGCTGAGCAGAGCGGTGGACGCGAGGAGAGTGTAGAGGGAGAGACAAGAGAGGGGTAAAAAAATGGAGTGGGTGGAAGCGAGAGAAGAGGAGTAAGAGATAGGGTGAAGTGAGAGATTATGGTTGAGATGACGTAAGTGCAAGGGCGAGCAGGTCCCACGGGAATTTTAGTGATCTGGAGAGTGGAGAGAAATAGTGATGTTATGAGTGGACAGACTAAATGCAGTACCCGCCTTTAAGTTCGTCTGGAGCAGCACGAATACGGCGGAGCAATGAAGAGGGTATTTACTCTTGGAAGGCTTCTTTATAATTTCCTGTGTGTGTGTGTGTGTGTGTGTGTGTATATATGTATGTGTGTGTGTGCGCGTGTTTCACCTGGATGTCAACCTACGCTACATACATCAACTATTAAATGTGTGTCACACAGCCTAGGAGAACGCCTTCTGTTGGTTCATACGTTTGACTGTCTCCAAGAACTGCGCGGCTACTTACGGCGTTTATTAGTAGGTCACACGTCCTCGCGGACAATATAAGCGTCCGTCTGTAGCTGTCCGGCCCGCAATAATTATCATTCACACACTGCTTACGTAAGCCATTCCAGAGGACATTTGTCGTTTCAAACTCCTTTAGCTGGGGTTGGCGGAGTAAGCATTTTGAAGCAGTATCTACTATGTCACTAGAACAACTCGAAGCCTAGCATTGCATAAATAGTCGCATTGTTCTAAATTACACAGACGATTCGACAACACTCCGTTAAACGATTAGTTTTATGAACATATGTAGTTTGCACATGTGAACGTACGAGTATGTGTGAATTCATGTGCTAATTATGCAGCATTTATTACACTGATTAATAGCACATTTATGACATGAGAATTTTAAAAATCTTCAACTTGACGCCCCTAACACGAAAAAAGCTAAAAGTCGCATACTTGTTTTTATTTTCATAAAACTGCAGATTGTATCCCAGGGTTTCTTGTAGAATATCACGTTCCTCTATGTAGGACCAATACAAATCTCAAAACGTGTATGTTTATCTTCTATGCCCCAAATCAAGTCCGACAGTCGCGAGATTAATGAATAAAAGACAAGTTATTCATAACATACTCTTAAGGTTCAAATCTCTCTTTACTTACAACCCAGTTGTGCTCCCAGCGTGAATGGGTAGGATGTGTAGTTTGTACCTACACGACATAAGCACATTTGCTGTTCAATACTTGCACATTTAGGCAGTTATTAATTCATATTCAGGAAAATAATGTGATCCAAGTTGGCCGAACGGGTCATGCGATCATTTTATTTTTTTTAGTTTTCACATACCTATCATTCATTTGAGAGATAACAGGAAAAATGGAATTCGAAAATAAAAACACAGAGTTAAAAGCAATACTGATTTACAATAACATTAAATGAAATATGACGGTAATATTATTTTAACCTTATTAAAATATACAACACTGTCAAAGTAATGTTCTTCGTTAACATCACGAATAACTAGTCGGAACTATTTAAAGACCAAAGACCATTTATTTTTAAAGTCTGATTTGGAAGAATACTAATAATTTGGTCTTCAGCTGTGAATCGATCTCTTGGATATCCAAACGCTTGGCAATTACACCACTGATACCGGAACAGCTGTTAGAGCATGCTAGAAATACCGAAGTTTTAGTACACAAGGATCCCCGCTTTTAATTTGATTCGATTTATTTTGTCAAAGAACAGTAAAAACTGTATGTTACATATGTGGGAGAAATACAAACTGGGCGTTTTCGTGAGCTCCAGAATCTCCTCCACACTTTTTAACCATAAATAATTGAATAATGAATACAAGTTCCAACAAAGCGAGCTAAGGAACGTGTGAAAACTAGGAATTTTTGCTCCCAAGTTGTAGAAAATATTTTATTTTCTTCTATTTGTACCACTATTAAATGTTTAATGTGATCTGGAAATGTGTTGGAAAGTAACATATATGTAATATTCCTGGATTACTTGTACTAGTGAGCTGTTGGTATTGACACCTGATGAATGCGATTTCTACGACGGTTGATGAAACTATATTCCCACCGATACGCAAGTCAGTTTTGATAGAAATTAGGGATTCGTAAATAAATAGTCAAGGCAGTAGGGCAGTAGTAATACTTTAATCTCAATGAAGAGAGACTTCATTGAGCTCGGAATGACATTTGCTTATTATTCGTACAATGTGTTTTGCCTCATCCCAAGAAGGAATGTACATTTGCAAAATACACGCGAGCTGCATGAACACGCAATGAGC